CAGCCAGGGGCACGACGCCCTTGTCCACCTATGGCATGGGGCCAGCACGGCAATGGGGCAGGCGGCCTCGGCCCCATAGGGTGGCCCCCCCCCAGGGCCCCACACTATGGGGTCACCCCCCCATTGATAGTCCCAATGCACCCCATAGAGCACCCCAATACCCCCCCATTGATGGTCCCAATGCACCCCATAGAGCACCCCAATACCCCCCCATTGATGGTCCCGATGCACCCCATGGAGCACCCCAATACCCCCTCATTGATGGTCCCAATTCACCCCATGGAGCACCCCAATACCCCCCCATTGATGGTCCCAATTCACCCCATGGAGCACCCCAATACCCCCCCATTGATGGTCCCAATGCACCCCATAGAGCACCCCAATACCCCCCCATTGATGGCCCCAATGCACCCCATGGAGCACCCCAATACCCCCCCACTGATGGTCCCAATGCACCCCCTGGAGCACCCCAATACCCCCCCATTGATGGTCCCAGTGCACTCCATGGAGCACCCCAATACCCCCCCCATTGATGGTCCCAATGCACCCCATGGAGCACCCCAATACCCCCCCATTGATGGTCCCGATGCACCCCATAGAGCACCCCAATACCCCCCCATTGATGGTCCCAATGCACCCCATGGAGCACCCCAATACCCCCCCATTGATGGTCCCAATGCACCCCATAGAGCACCCCAATACCCCCCCCATTGATGGTCCCAGTGCACCCCATAGAGCACCCCAATACCCCCCCATTGATGGTCCCAATGCACCCCATAGAGCACCCCAATACCCCCCCATTGATGGCCCCAATGCACCCCATAGAGCACCCCAATACCCCCCCATTGACGGTCCCAATGCACCCCATGGAGCACCCCAATACCCCCCCATTGATGGTCCCAATGCACCCCATGGAGCACCCCAATACCGCCCCATTGATGGTCCCAATGCACCCCATGGAGCACCCCAATACCCCCCCATTGATGGTCCCAATGCGCCCCATAGAGCACCCCAATACCCCCCCATTGATGGTCCCAATGCACCCCATGGAGCACCCCAATACCCCCCATTGATGGTCCCAATGCACCCCACAGAGCCCCCATTGCCCCCAGCACCCCAATACCCCCAACTGATGGGGTTGCTGCACCCCACGGGGCACCCCAATACCCCCCTACGCTGATGTTGCTGCACCCCATGGAGCCCCCAATGTCCCCAGCACCCCAATACCCCCCCACTGATGCTCTCAATGCACCCCACACACCCCCCAGCACCCCAATATCCCCTCATTGATGCCTTCAACGCCCCCAGCACCCCAATACCCCCCCACTGGTCTCAATGCACCCCACAAATCCCCCAACACCCCCCCCACTGATGCTCTCAATGCACCCCACACACCCCCCAGCACCCCAATATCCCCTCATTGATGCCTTCAACGCCCCCAGCACCCCAATACCCCCCCATTGATTGGGCTGCTGCACCCCACGGAGCACCCCAATAGCCCCCTACACTGACGTTGCTGCACCCCATGGAGCCCCCCAATGCCCCCAGCACCCCAATACCCCCCCATTGATGCTCTCAATGCACCCCACACATCTCCCAACACGCCAATATCCCCTCACTGATGCCTTCAACACCCCCAGCACCCCAATACCCCCCCACTGATGCACTCAATGCACCCCACAAATCCCCCAGCACCCCAATACCCCCCCACTGATGCTCTCAATGCACCCCACACATCCCCCAACACCCCAATACCCCCCCATTGATGGGGTTGCTGCACCCCATGGAGCACCCCAATACCCCCCCACTGATGCTCTCAATGTACCCCACACATCCCCCAGCACCCCAATATCCCCTCACTGACGCCTTCAACACCCCCAGCACCCCAATACCCCCCCACTGATGTGGTTGCTGCACCCCATGGAGCACCCCAATACCCCCCCACTGATGCACTCAATGCACCCCACACATCCCCCAGCACCCCAATACCCCCCCATTGATGGTCCCAATGCACCCCACAGAGCCCCCAATGCCCCCAGCACCCCAATACCCCCCCACAGATGCCCCCAACACCCCCCTTTTCCACCCCCCCCCAAGCACCCCCACCTTGATGCCCACGAGGGCCCCCTTGGCCCGGATGACCTCTGGGAAGGGACGACCGTCGTCTGCCTTTTGGTAGAGGGTCTCGTGGAAGAGGATGACGCCGCCGATGCAGGCGTCCACGCGGCTGTCGGCAGTGAACAGCAGCTGCCGGTACCAGCGCCGGTTCTCCTCCGTGTTCTCCGCGCCCACCGAGCTCAGGCGCTTGGCGATGCTGCCTGCAAGGGGGAGAAACCAGTAAGGACCAGTAAGGACCAGTAAGGACCAGTAAGGACCAGTAAGGAGCAGTAAGGAGCAGTAAGGGCCAGGGCGTCCCAATGTGCCCCCAGGGGCTTCCAAACCAGTAGGAAGCAGTAGGGACCAGTAGCAACCAGTAACAACCAGTAAGGGCCAGGGGCTCCCAATGCGTTCTCAGGGGCTTCCAAACCAGTAGGGACCAGTAAGGAGCAGGGCATCCCAATAGGGCCCAATGCAGCCCCAAGGGCTCCCAAACCAGTAGGAACCAGTAAGGACCAGTAAGGAGCAGGGCATCCCAATAGCGCCCAATGCAGCCTCAAGGGCTCCCAAACCAGTAGGGACCAGTAAGGACCAGTAAGGAGCAAGGCATCCCAATAGCGCCCCCAGGGGCTTCCAAACCAGTAGGGACCAGTAAGGACCAGTAAGGAGCAAGGCATCCCAATGTGTTCTCAGGGGCTTCCAAACCCGTAAGGACCAGTAAGGAGCAGGGCATCCCAATAGCGCCCAATGCAGCCCCAAGGGATCCCAAACCAGTAGGAACCAGTAAGGATCAGTAAGGACCAGTAAGGAGCAGGGCATCCCAATGTGTTCTCAGGGGCTTCCAAACCAGTAGGGACCAGTAAGGACCAGTAAGGACCAGGGCATCCCAATAGCGCCCAATGCAACCCCAAGGGCTCCCAAACCAGTAGGGACCAGTAAGGACCAGTAAGAACCAGTAAGGACCAATAAGGACCAGTAAGGATCAGTAAGGATCAGTAAGGGCCAGGGCGTCCCAATGTGTCCCCAGGGGCTTCCAAACCAGTAGGAAGCAGTAGGGACCAGTAGCAACCAGTAACAACCAGTAAGGGCCAGGGGCTCCCAATGCGTTCTCAGGGGCTTCCAAACCAGTAGGGACCAGTAATGACCAGTAAGGACCAGTAAGGACCAGCGCGTCCCAATGTGTCCCCAGGGGCTTCCAAACCAGTAGGAAGCAGTAGGGACCAGTAGCAACCAGTAACAACCAGTAAGGGCCAGGGGCTCCCAATGCGTTCTCAGGGGCTTCCAAACCAGTAGGGACCAGTAAGGAGCAGGGCATCCCAATAGGGCCCAATGCAGCCCCAAGGGCTCCCAAACCAGTAGGAACCAGTAAGGACCAGTAAGAAGCAGGGCATCCAAATAGCGCCCAATGCAGCCCCAAGGGCTCCCAAACCAGTAGGAACCAGTAAGGACCAGTAAGGACCAGTAAGGAGCAGGGCATCCCAATGTGTTCTCAGGAGCTTCCAAACCAGTAGGGACCAGTAAGGACCAGTAAGGAGCAGGGCATCCCAATGTGTTCTCAGGGGCTTCCAAACCAGTAGGGACCAGTAAGGACCAGTAAGGACCAGGGCATCCCAATAGCGCCCAATACAGCCCCAAGGGCTCCCAAAACAGAAGGAACCAGTAAGGACCAGTAAGGAGCAGAGCATCCCAATGTGTTCTCAGGGGTTTCCAAACCAGTAAGGACCAGTAAGGACCAGTAAGGACCAGTAGGGACCAGTAACAACCAGTAAGGACCGGGGGCTCCCAATGCAACCCCAGGAGCTTCCAAACCAGTAGGGACCCAGAGGTCCCTCACCCCACAGACCCCCCTCCACCCCACAGGTCCCTCACCCCATAGACCCCTCTCCACCCCATAAGTCCCTCACCCCCCAGACCCCTCTCCGCCCCATAGGTCCCTCACCCCATAGACCCCCCTCACCCCACGGGTCCCTCACCCCATAGACCCCTCTCCACCCTGTAAGTCCCTCACCCCACAGACCCCTCTCACCCCACAGACTCCCCTCACCCCATAGACCCCTCTTCCCCCCATATCCCTCACCCCATAGACCCCTCTCCACCCCATAAGTCCCTCACCCCACAGACCCCTCACCCCACAGACCCCTCTCCACCCTATAAATTCCTCACCCCACACACCCCTCTCACCCCACAGACTCCCCTCACCCCATAGACCCCTCTTCCCCCCATATCCCTCACCCCATAGACCCCTCTCCACCCCATAAGTCCCTCACCCCACAGACCCCTCACCCCACAGACCCCTCTCCACCCTATAAATCCCTCACCCCACACACCCCTCTCACCCCACAGACTCCCCTCACCCCATAGACCCCTCTTCCCCCCATATCCCTCACCCCATAGACCCCTCTCCACCCCACAGGTCCCTCACCCCCATGTCCCTCACCCCACAGACCCCTCTCCGCCCCATAGGTCCCTCACCCCACAGATGCCCCTCACCCCACAGGTCCCTCACCCCACAGACCCCCCTCTGCCCCATAAGTCCCTCACCCCATAGACCCCTCTCCGCCCCACACCGCGTTACCTGTGGACTCATCGGCCGCCAGGATCCCTTTACCGGGGGCCACGATGCGCTGCGCGATCCCCGACAGCTCCTTCTTCTGCTCGGGGCTCAGCGCCGACACGGGCGGCGCCATCTTGCCTCTGCGTCTGACGTCACCGCGCACGGACGTCACCGCCTCGCCCTACCCAATGGCGACCCCCCCCACCCCCCCACCCCAATCAAGGGCGGCCCAAGGGCACCCCCCGACCCCAAAATCGGCTCTTTTCGGCCCAAATCGGGGCTTGGAACCCCGAAATCTGACTTTTGCACACCAAAATCTGGCATTTTGACCCAAAACATGGCTTTTTCACACCAAAATTTGCCCTTTTCACCGCAAAATCTGCCCTTTACACCCCAAAATCTGCCCTTTTGACCCAAAACATGGCTTTTTCACACCAAAATCTGGCCTTTTCACCCCAAAATTTGCCCTTTTCAACCCCAAAATCTGACCTTTCCACCCCAAAATCTCACCTTTTTCAACCCCAAATTTGCCCTTTTCCACCCCAAAATCTGACCTTTTTCACCCCAAAATCTGCCCTTTCCACGCCAAAATCTGCCCTTTTCCATCCCAAAATCTGCCCTTTTCACCCCAAAATTTGCCCTTTACCCCCCAAAATCTGTCATTTTGACCCAAAACACGGCTTTTTCACACCAAAATCTGCTCTTTTAACCCAAAACATGGCTTTTGCACACCAAAATCTGCCCTTTTGACACAAAACATGGCTTTTTCACACCAAAATCTGGCCTTTTGACCCAAAACATGGCTTTTTCACACCAAAATCTGCCCTTTTGACCCAAAACATGGCTTTTTCACACCAAAATTTGCCCTTTTGACCCAAAACATGGCTTTTTCACACCAAAATTTGCCCTTTTCACCGCCAAAATCTGACCTTTCCACCCCAAAATCTCACCTTTTTCAACCCCAAATTTGCCCTTTTCCACCCCAAAATCTGCCCTCTTCATCCCCAAATCTGCCCTTTTCCACCCCAAAATTTCCTTTCTCCCCAAAAATCTGCTATTTCCACCCCAAAATGCACCTTTTACACCCCAAAATCTGACTTTTTCACCTCAAAATCAGCTTTCACCCCAAACCTGCACTTTCCACCCCAAAATCTGCACTTCCCACCCCAAAATCTGCACTTCCCACACCCAAATCTGCTTTTTTTCACCCCAAAATCCGCCCTTTTCACCCAAACTCGGTGCTTTTCACACCAAATCAGTGCTTTCAACTCCAAAAACTGCCTTTTCCACCCCAAAATCAGTGCTTTTCACCCAAAATCAGTGCTTTTCACACCAAATCAGTGCTTTCCACCCCAAAATCTGCCTTTTCACCCAAAATCTGCCTTTTTCACCCCAAAAGTCTGCCCCCCTCCAAACCCTGCCCCTTTTTGCCCCCAAATCCACCTTTTTCACCCCAAAATCTCCCCCCCCCCCCAAATCTGCCCCTTTTACCTCAGGATTTCCCCAAAATCGCCTCTTTTCACCCCAACCCCCCCCCAAAATCTGCACTTTTCACCTCAGAATCTCCCTCCAGACCCCAAAATCCCCCTTTTTTACCTCAGAATTTGCCCCAATTCTGCCCTTTTCAGCCTAAAACCTGCTCCTTTCACCTCAGCTCCCCAAATCTGCCTCTTTCACCCCAAAATCTCATCCCACCCCCCAAAACCTGCACTTTTTACCTCAGATTCTGCCCCAAAACCCCCAAATCTGCATTTTTCACCCCAAAATCCACCTTTTTTACCTAAAACCTGCACTTTTTACCTCAGAATCTGCCTCCAAACCCCAAAATCTGCCCCTTTTACCCCAAAATCCGCCTTTTATACCCAAAACCCCCACTTTTTGCCTCAGAATTGGTGCCAACATCCCAAAATCCACTTTTATCCCCAAAACCTGCACTTTTTACCTCAGATTCTGCCCCAAAACCCCAAAATCTGCCCCTTTTCACCCAAAATCCACCTTTTATACCCAAAACCTGCACTTTTTACCTCAGAATCTGCCCCAACACCCCAAAATCTGCCCCTTTCACCCCAAAATCCACCTTTTATACCCAAAACCCCCACTATTTACCTCAGAATCCACCCCAACACCCCAAAATCTGCCCTTTTCACCCAAAATCCACCTTTTTTACCCAAAACCTGCACTTTTCACCTCAGAATCTGCCCCCAAACCCCAAAATCTGCACCTTTTTCCCTCAAATCCACCTTTTATCCCCAAAACCTGCACTTTTTACCTCAGAACCTGCCCCTATACCCCAAAATCTGCCCCTTTTCACCCAAAATCCACCTTTTTTACTCAACCCCCCCACTTTTTACCTCAGAATCTACCCCCAAACCCCAAAATCTGCCCCTTTTCACCCAAAATCCACCTTTTATACCCCAAACCCCCACTTTTTACCTCAGAATCTGCCCCCAAACCCCAAAATCTGCCCTTTTCAACCCAAAATCCACCCTTTATACCCAAAACCTGCCCTTTTTACCTCAAAAACTGCCCCCAAACCCCAAAACCTTCCCTTTTCACCCCAAAATCCACTTTTATCCCCAAAACCCCCACTTTTTACCTCAGAATCCATGGCAACACCCCAAAATCTGCCCTTTTCACCCCAAAATCCACCTTTTTTACCTAAAACCCCCACTTTTTACCTCAGAATCAACCCCAACACCCTAAAATCTGCCCTTTTCACCCCAAAATCCACCTTTTATACCCAAAACCCCCACTTTTTACCTCAGAATCTACCCCAAAATCCACCTTTTATCCCCCAAAACCCCAACTTTTACCTCAGAATCTGTCCCAAAACCCCAAAATCTGCCCCTTTTACCCCAAAATCCACCTTTTATCCCCAAAACCCACAACTTTTACCTCAGAATCTGCTCCCAAACCCCAAAATCTGCCCTTTTCACCCCAAAATCCACCTTTTTTACCCAAACCCACCACTTTTTACCTCAGAATCCACCCCAACACCTGCTGTTTTCCCCCCAAAATCCACCTTTTTACCCAAAACCTTCACTTTTTACCTCAAAAACTGCCCCCAACACCCCAAAATCTGCCCTTTTCACCCCCCAAATCTGCCCTTTTTACCCAAAACCCCCACTTTTTACCTCAGACTTTGCTCCCAAACCCCCAAATCTGCCCTTTTCACCCCAAAATTTAACTTTTTTACCTAAAACCTGCACTTTTTACCTCTAAATCTGCCCCCAAACCCCAAAACCTGCCCTTTTCACCCAAAAATCCACTTTTATCCCCAAAACGTGCACTTTTTACCTCAGAATCTACCCCAAACCCCAAAATCTGCCCCTTTTACCCCAAAATCCAACTTTTATCCCCAAAACCATGCACGTTTACCTCAGAATCTACCCCAACACCCCAAAATCTGCCCCTTATAGCCCAAAATCCACCTTTTTACCCAAAACCTGCACTTTTTACCTCAGAATCCACTCCAACACCCCAAAATCTGCCCTTTTCACCCCAAAATCTACTTTTTTTACCCCAAACCCCCACTTTTTACCTCAGAATCCACCCCAAACCCCAAAACCTGCCCTTTTCACCCCAAAATCCAACTTTATCCCCAAAACCACCACTTTTTACCTAAGAATCCACCCCAACACCCCAAAATCTGCCCTTTTCACCCCAAAATCCACCTTTTTTACCCCAAACCACCACTTTTTACCTCAGAATCTGCCCCCAAACCCCAAAACCTGCCCTTTTCACCCCAAAATCCACCTTTGCTCCCCAAAACCCCCACTTTTTACCTCAGAATCCACCCCAACACCCCAAAACCTGCCCTTTTCACCCCAAAATTTAACTTTTTTACCTAAAACCTGCACTTTTTACCTCAAAATCTGCCCCCAAACCCCAAAATCTGCCCTTTTCACCCCAAAATCCACCTTTTATCCCCCAAACCCCCACTTTTTACCTCAGAATCCACCCCAAACCCCAAAACCTGCCCTTTTCACCCCAAAATCTACTTTTTTTACCCAAAACCCCCACTTTCTACCTCAGAATCTGCCCCCAAACCCCAAAATCTGCCCTTTTCACCCAAAATCCACCTTTTATCCCCAAACCCCCCACTTTTTACCTCAGAATCTGCCCTTTTACCCCAAAATCCACCCCTTTTATCCCCCAAACCAGCACTTTTTACCTCAGATTATACCCAAAACCTGCCCTTTTCACCCCAAAATCCACCTTTTTTTACCCAAAACCCCCACTTTTTACCTCAGAATCCACCCCAAACGCCAAAACCTGCCCTTTTCACCCCAAAATCCACCTTTTATCCCCAAAACCCCCACTTTTTACCTCAGAATCCACCCCAACACCCCAAAACCTGCCCTTTTCACCCCCAAATTTAACTTTTTTACCTAAAACCTGCACTTTTTACCTCAGAATCCACCCCAACACCCCAAAACCTGCCCTTTTCACCCCAAAATCCCTTTTTACCCAAAACCCCCACTTTTTACCTCAGAATCCACCCCAAACCCCCAAACCTGCCCTTTTCACCCCAAAATCCACCTTTTATACACAAATCCTGCACTTTTTACCTCAGATTCTGCCCCCAAACCCCAAAATCTGCCCTTTTCACCCCAAAATCCACTTTTACCCAAAACCTTCACTTTTTACCTCAAAACCTGCCACAAACCTCAAAATCTGCCCTTTTCACCCCAAAATCCACCTTTTATCCCCGAAACCCCCACTTTTTACCTCAGAATCCACCCCAACACCCCAAAACCTGCCCTTTTCACCCCAAAATACACTTTTTACCCAAAACCCCAACTTTTACCTCAGAATCTGCCCCCAAACCCCAAAATCTGCCCCCTTTACCCCAAAACCCACCTTTTATCCCCAAAACCTTCACTTTTTATCTCAGAATCTGCCCTTTTACCCCAAAACCCACCTTTTATCCCCAAAACCTTCACTTTTTACCTCAGAATCTGCCCTTTTACCCCAAAACCCACCTTTTATCCCCAAAACCTTCACTTTTTACCTCAGAATCTGCCCTTTTACCCCAAAACCCACCTTTTATCCCCAAAACCTGCACTTTTTACCTCAGAATCTGCCCCTTTTACCCCAAAACCCACCTTTTATCCCCCAAACCAGCACTTTTTACCTCAGATTCTACCCAAAACCTGCCCTTTTCACCCCAAAATCCACCTTTTTTACCGAAAACCTTCACTTTTTACCTCAGAATCTGCCTCCAAACCCCAAAATCTGCCCTTTTCACCCCAAAAACCCTCTCTTTCCCCCCTTTTTAACCAAAACCTCCTCTTTCCACCCCAAAACCCTCTCTTTCCCCCCCTTTTTTACCCAAAACCTCCTCTTTTCACCCCAAAACCCACTCCCCCCCCCCCCCACACACACCTGGACGTCAGGCGCGCGGGCAGGGGCGGGGCCGCGCCGTGACGTCACCGCGCCGGGGAATAGAGGGGAGTGGGGAAAACGCCGCTCTTAAAGGGGCAACGTCCCGGTGTGGACCCCCCCCAAACACCCCAACCCCTTAAAAGGGCAACGGCAAAAGGGGGGGGTGTTGGGGTACAGGGGGGGTTTTGGGGTGCAGGGGGGTGGGGGAAGCGCCCCATAGGGTGCAATGGGGGTGTTGGGGTGCAGTGGGGGTCTATTTAGGGAGAGGAGGGGGTTGGGGTGCAGAGAAAGGGCCCCCCTCATCCATCACTTACCTTGGGGTGACCCTGAGTGCCGCTGGGGGTGCTGGGGGCTCCCCCTTATATAGGGGCTCCTATAGGGGGGGGCCCCCCCCTCATGTGACCTTCTCAGGTGACCTCTGCCCTTTCCGCAGCCCAAAATAGCCCCCAAAACCCTTCCCCCACCCCCCACAACCCCCCCCCTCATTGTGGGGTTGGGGGAGGGGAAACCCCCCCCAGTCCCATAGCCCCTCCCCCCACCAATATGGGGCTGGCTTTGTGCCCCTCCCCCCATATATGGGGCTCCCCCCCCCCAACCCCCCCCCTTTGTGGGGTGGGGGGAGGGGAAAACCCCCCCATAGCCCCTCCCCCCACTGATATGGAGCCGGGTTTGTGCCCCTCCCCCCCATATATGGGGCTCCCCCCCCCAACACCCCTCTTTATGGGGTGGGGGGAGGGGAAACCCCCCCCATAGCCCCTCCCCCCACCGATATGGGGCCGGGTTTGTGCCCCTCCCCCCCATATATGGGGCTCCCCCCTCTTTTTGGGGTGGGGGGAGGGGAAACCCCCCCATAGCCCCTCCCCCCACCGATATGGGGCTGGTTTTGTGCCCCTCCCCCCCATATATGGGGCTCCCCCCTCTTTTTTGGGTGGGGGGAGGGGAAAACCCCCCCATAGGCCCTCCCCCCACCGATATGGGGCTGGCTTTGTGCCCCTCCCCCCCGTATATGGGGCTCCCCCCCCCATTTTGGGGGTCCCCGTTGTCGCCATGGCAACGGGGGGGACGTGGCTCATTAATATTCATGACCCTCATGCATATGCAATGAGCCCCCCCTCCGTCGCCATAGCAACAACACCCCCCCTCCATCCCCTTATATGGCAACGCGCCCGCTGCGCCCGATCCCCATTGGCTCGCGGGCTCGGCCAATCAGGAGGCACGGCGCCGCGCATGCGCAGTCCCCGCCCCCAGCGTTGCCGTGGAGACGCGGCGGCCCTCGGGGGGCCCGCGCAGGTAAAGAGCGGGCTTTATGCTAATGTATGCTAATGAGGAGGGGAGGGGCTTGCCGGGAGGGGCACAGAGCGGGGAGGAAAAGGGGGGGGGAAGGGGGTTGTGGGCGGGAAGATGCAAATGAGGGGGTGGGGGGGTGGGAGGGGCCAGGCCTTTAGGCCACGCCCCCTTGCCCTTCATAAGACTGCTCTTCTTAAGGCCACGCCCCCTTTATGCTAATCACGTTGATCCCCTTTAAGCCACGCCCCTTCCCCTCCCATTCACCCCCCACCATAGGCCACGCCCCCTTTAAACCACGCCCCCTCCATCATGACTTTGAACCCTTTTAAGCCACGCCCCCTTTGTCCCGCCCAATCACATCCCTCCCCATTCAGGCCACGCCTCCTTAACACCACGCCCCATTTTGCTCCAATAACAGTCCTCCACTTTAAGCCACGCCCCCTCTGCTCTGCCCAATCACGTCCCGCTCCCTTTAGGCCACGCCCCCTTTCCCCTCCCAATCTACACCACCTGTAAGCCACACCCCTTTTACCCCGCCCAATCACGTCCCTCCCCCTTCAGGCCACGCCCCCTTTACCCTGCCCCATCGCATCCCTCGCCCTTTAGGCCACGCCCCTTTATGCTAATCACGTTCATCCCCTTTAAACCACGCCCCCTCCCATTCACCGCCCCTACGCCACGCCCCCTTTAAACCACGCCCCCTTCACCGCTATAACTTGTCCCGCCCAATCACGTTCCACCCCCTTCGCCCCGCCCAATCACGTCCCTCCCCCTTTAGGCCACGCCTCCTCTAGACCTATGCTCCCTTTACTGCAATACCTTTATTCCCCTTTAAGCCACGCCCCCTTTCCGCTATTCCCCACCCCTAGGCCACGCCCCCTTTGTCCCGCCCTATCACCTCCCTCTCCCTTTAAGCCACGCCCCCTTTACGCCAATCACATTGATCCCCTTTAAGCCACGCCCCCTCGCCCCTCCCATTCATTTACATCCCTCTCAGACCACGCCCCCCACATTTCCCTCCGCCCAATCACGTCCCTCTCCCTTTAGGCCACGCCTCCTTTGCGTCAATAACATTGATCCCCTTTAATCCACCTAGGCCACGCCTCCTTTGTCCCGTCCAATCACATCCCTCTCCCTTTAAGCCCCGCCTCCTTTCCCCCCTCCCATTCATTCCCGTAGGCCACGCCCCCTTTACCATTCACCATCACCCGTAAGCCACGCCCCGTTTGTCCCACCCAATCACCTCCCTCTCATTTAGGCCACGCCCCCTTTATGCCAATAACATTGATCCCCTTTAAGCCACGCCCCCTTCCCAACAATCCCATTGATCACCTTTAGGCCACGCCCCCTTCCCCATTGCTCCCTTTAAGCCACGGCCCCTTCCCATTGATCCCTTTAAGCCACGCCCCCTTCCCATTGCTCCCTTTAAACCACGCCCCCTTCCCATTGATCCCCTTTAAACCACGCCCCCTTCCTATTGATCCCTTTAAGCCACGCCCCCTTCCCATTGCTCCCTTTAAACCACGCCCCCCTCCCCATTGCTCACCTTTAAACCACGCCCCCTCCCCATTGATCCCTTTAAGCCACGCCCCCTTTCCATTGCTCCCCTTAAACCACGCCCCTCCCCATTGCTCCCTTTAAGCCCCGCCCCCTTCCCTTTGCTCCCTTTAAGCCACGCCCCTACCCATTGCTCCCTTTAAGCCACGCCCCTTCCCATTGCTCCCTTTAAGCCACGCCCCCCCCATTGCTCCCTTTAAACCACGCCCCTCCCCATTGATCCCTTTAAGCCACGCCCCCTCCCCATTGATCCCTTTAAGCCATGCCCCTTTCCCATTGCTCCCTTTAAGCCACGCCCCTTCCCATTGCTCCCTTTAAGCCACGCCCCCTTCCCATTGATCCCTTCAAACCACGCCCCCTTCCCATTGCTCCCTTTAAACCACGCCCCCTTCCCATTGCTCCCTTTAAACCACGCCCCCTCCCCATTGCTCCCCTTAAGCCCCGCCCCCTCTCCCCTCCCATTCATCCCTCTTCTCACCTCTCTGACCACTCCCCCTCTCCTTTCTCTCCGCCCAATCAGGCTCCGCCCCTCGGCCAGGCCACGCCCCCCCGCCCCGGGGTCTCCCATGGCCCCCCCCTGGCCCCCGCTGGCCCTGGGGCTCCTCTTCTTCCCGGGGCTCTTCCTGCTGGCCCGGGCGCTGCTGCGCAGGCGATGCCCAGAGCCACACGCGGTCATCCTGGCCGCCAGGTAACGGGGGGGAGATGGGGAGATGGGGGGAGATGTGGGGAGATGTGGGGAGAGATGGGGTGAGATAGGGGGGGAGATGGGGGGAGATGTGGGGGGAGATGTGGGGAGGGATGGGGGGAGATGGGGGGAGGGATGGGGGGAGATGTGGGGGGAGATGGGGGGAGGGATGGGGAGAGATGGGGGAGATTGGGGGGAGAGAGGAGGGAGATGTGGGGAGAGATGTGGGGAGATGGGGGGAGATGTGGGGAGAGATGTGGGGGGAGATGGGGAGAAAGGGGGGAGATGGGGGGGAGATGTGGGGGGAGATGGGGGGAGATGGGGGGTTAGATAGGGGGAGAGATGGGGGAGATGTGGGGGGAGATGTGGGGGGAGATGGGGGGTGAGATAGGGGGAGAGATGGGGGGAGATGTGGGGGGAGATGTGGGGGGAGATGGGGGGAGATGGGGACGGATGGGGGAGATGGGGGGGAGATGGGGGAGATGGGGGGAGAAATGGGGGGGGAGATGGGGAGAGATAGGGGGAGGGATGTGGGGTGAGATGTGGGGGGAGATGGGGGGAGATGTGGGGGAGTATGGGGGGAGATGGGGGAGAGATGTGGGGAGGGATGGGGAGAGATGGAGGAGAGATGGGGACTGAGATGGGGGAGATGTGGGGTGAGATGGGGGGAGATGTGGGGGGTAGGTGTGGGGTGAGATGGGGGAGAGATGGGGTGAGATGTGGGGATGGATGGGGAGAGATGTGGGGGAGATGTGGGGAGAGATGGGGGGAGATATGGGGGGAGATGTGGGTAGAAATGGGGGCAGGTGTGGGGTGAGCTATGGGGAGAGATGGGGGAGATTGGGGGGAGAGAGGGGGGAGATGTGGGGTGAGATGGGGGGACATGTGGGGAGAGATGGGGGGAGATGTGGGGAGAGATGGGGGGAGTATGGAGGGAGATGTGGGGAGGGATGGGGGGGAGATGTGGGGTGAGATATGGGGAGGGATGTGGGGGGAGATGGGGGGGAGATGGGGAAGGATGGGGGGAGATGTGGGGGGAGATGGGGGGAGATAGGGGAAGAGATGGGGAGGGATGTGGGGTGAGATATGGGGAGATGGGGGGAAGCTATGGGGAGATGGGGGGAGAGATGGGGGAGATGGGGGGAGATGGGGGGAGGGATGGCGAGAGATAAGGGGGAGATAGGGGGAGACGGGGGGAGATCTATGGGGAGATGGGGGGTGTATGGGGAGATAAAGGGATACGGGGATGGGGATGGGAAGTGGGGGGAGGGGAGGCCACGCAAGGAGAGCGGGGGCAGGGATTGACCTGGCTTGGGGCAATGGGGGTCAATGGGGGTCAATGGGGGGCAGTGGGGGTAATGGGGTCAATGGGGCTCCATGGGGCTCAGTGGGGCTCAATGGAATCAATGGGGCTCCATGGGGCTCAATGGGATCAATGGGGCTCAATGGGGCTCCATGGGGCTCAATGGGCTCAATGGGGATCAGTGGGGATCAGTGGGGCTCAATGGGATCAGTGGGGCTCAATGGGGCTCAATGGGGATCAATGGGGATCAATGGGGATCAATGGGGCTCAATGGGGCTCAATGGGATCAATGGGGCTCCATGGGGCTCAATGGGATCAATGGTGCTCAATGGGATCAATGGGGCTCAATGGGATCCATGGGGCTCAATGGGCTCAATGGGGTCAATGGGGCTCAATGGGGCTCCATGGGGCTCAATGGGATCAATGGGGATCAATGGGATCAATGGGGATCAATGGGGCTCAATGGGATCCATGGGGCTCAATGGGGCTCAGTGGGGCTCCATGGGGCTCAATGGGATCAATGGGGATCAATGGGATCAATGGGGCTCAATGGGGCTCAATGGGATCAATGGGCTCCATGGGGCTCCATGGGGCTCCATGGGGCTCAATGGGGCTCAATGGGATCAATGGGGCTCCATGGGGCTCAATGGGGCTCTATGGGGCTCAATGGGATCAATGGGGATCAATGGGGCTCAATGGGGCTCAATGGGCTCAATGGGGCTCCATGGGGCTCAATGGGGCTCTATGGGGCTCAATGGGATCAATGGGGCTCAATGGGGCTCCATGGCATCAATGGGGCTCAATGGGGATCAATGGGGCTCAATGGGATCAATGGGGCTCAGTGGGGCTCAATGGGATCAGTGGGGCTCCATGGGGCTCAATGGGGATCAATGGGGCTCCATGGGGCTCAATGGGGCTCAATGGGATCAATGGGGCTCTATGGGGCTCCATGGGGCTCAATGGGGCTCTATGGGGCTCAATGGGGCTCCATGGGGCTCTATGGGGCTCCATGGGGCTCAATGGGCTCAATGGGGCTCCATGGGGCTCAATGGGGCTCTATGGGGCTCAATGGGGCTCAATGGGGATCAGTGGGGATCAGTGGGGATCAGTGGGGCTCAATGGGGCTCAATGGGGCTCCATGGGGCTCAATGGGGATCAGTGGGGATCAGTGGGGCTCAATGGGGCTCAATGGGGCTCCATGGGGCTCCATGGGGCTCAATGGGGCTCTATGGGGCTCAATGGGGCTCTATGGGGCTCTATGGGGCTCAATGGGGCTCAATGGGGCTCTATGGGGCTCAATGGGATCAATGGGGCTCAATGGGGCTCCATGGCATCAATGGGGCTCAATGGGGATCAATGGGGCTCAATGGGATCAATGGGGCTCAGTGGGGCTCAATGGGATCAGTGGGGCTCCATGGGGCTCAATGGGGATCAATGGGGCTCCATGGGGCTCAATGGGGCTCAATGGGGATCAGTGGGGATCAGTGGGGATCAGTGGGGCTCAATGGGGCTCAATGGGGCTCAATGGGGCTCAATGGGGATCAGTGGGGATCAGTGGGGCTCAATGGGGCTCAATGGGGCTCTATGGGGCTCCATGGGGCTCAATGGGGCTCTATGGGGCTCACCCCCCAGGTTGGTCTCCTCGGTTCAGGCCGTGATGGCCTCCACGGCCGGGTTCATCATCGCCTCCTCCTGCCAGCACGTCATTGACGACGAGTGAGTGCCCCATAGCGACCCATAGGGACCCATAGAGACCCATAGGGACCCATAGAGACACATAGAGACCCATAGGGACCCATAGAGACCCATAGGGACCCATAGAGACCCATAGAGACCCATAGAGACCCATAGGGACCCATAGAGACCCATAGAGACCCATAGAGACCCATAGGGACCCATAGAGACCCATAGAGACCCATAGAGACACATAGGGACCCATAGAGACACATAGGGACCCATAGAGACACATAGAGACCCATAGGGACCCATAGCGACCCATAGAGACCCATAGGGACCCATAGCGACCCATAGCGCCCCATAGGGACCCATAGAGACAAATAGAGACCCATAGAGACACATAGGGACCCATAGAGACCCATAGAGACCCATAGAGACACAGAGACACGCCATAGGGACCCATAGAGACCCATAGAGACCCATAGGGACCCATAGGGACCCATAGAGACCCATAGAGACCCATAGAGACTCATAGAGACACAGAGACACGCCATAGGGACCCATAGGGACCCATAGAGACCCATAGCGCCCCATAGAGACCCACAGAGAACCATAGAGACCCATAGCGCCCCATAGAGACCCATAGCGACCCATAGAGACCCATAGAGACCCATAGCGACCCATAGAGACCCATAGAGACCCATAGAGACCCACAGAGACCCATAGGGACCTCATTGGGACCCATAGAGACCCATAGCACCCCATAGAGACCCATAGGGACCCATAGAGACCCATAGGGACCCCATAGGGACCCCATAGAGAACCCAGAGCACCCATGGGTGCCCCTCCCCCCCCATAAGTCGCGGGGGGGGGGAGGGGCAGCTTTGGCCGGGGCTGAGCCGGGATTAACCCAGGAGGGGGGGGAGGGGCGGGGGGGGGGAGGGGCGAGAGGGAGCTGTGGGGGGAGGGGCAGCAGGGCCCCATAGCGCCCACTCCACCCCATAGGGAACCCATTGCTCCCTATGGGGCAGCCCCATAGGGCCCCCATTGCTCTCTCTGGGTCTGCCCCATAGGACCCCCATAGCTCCCTATGGGTCGGCCCCATAGCTCCCTGTGTGTCTGCCCCATAGGACCCCCATAGCTCCCTGTGTCTCCGCCCCATAGCTCCCTATGTGTCCGCCCCATAGGACCCCCATTGCTCCCTATGGGTCTGCCCCATAGCTCCCTGTGTCTCCGCCCCATAGCTCTGTCTCCGCCCCATAGCTCCCTGTGTCTCCGCCCCACAGCTCCCTATAGGTCCGCCCCATAGGACCCCCATTGTTCTCTATGGGTCCGCCCCACAGCTCCCTATGGGTCTGGTCCACAGCTCCCTGTGTCTCCGCCCCACAGCTCCCTATGTGTCCACCCCATAGGACCCCCATTGCTCTCTATGGGTCAGCCCCACAGCTCCCTGTGTCTCTGCCCCATAGCTCTGGCTCTGCCCCATAGCTCCCTATGGGTCCACCCCATAGCTCTGTCTCCGCCCCACAGCTCCCTATGGGTCCGCCCCATAGCTTTGTCTCTGCCCCATAGCTTTGTCTCTGCCCCATAGCTCTGTCTCTGCCCCATAGCTCCCTATAGGTCCGCCCCATAGCTCCCTGTGTCTCTGCCCCATAGCTTTGTCTCCGCCCCATAGCTCCCTATGGTTCCGCCCCATAGCTTTGTCTCCGCCCCATAGCTCCCTATAGGTCCGCCCCATAGGACCCCCATTGTTCTCTATGGGTCCGCCCCATAGCTCCCTGTGTCTCTGCCCCATAACTCCCTGTGTCTCCGCCCCATAGCTCCCTATGGTTCCGCTCCATAGCTTTGTCTCTGCCCTAAAGCTCTGTCTCTGCCCCATAGCTCCCTATGGGTCCGCCCCATAACTTTGTCTCTGCCCCATTGTTCTCTATGGGTCCGCCCCATTGCTTTGTCTCTGCCCCATAGCTCTGTCTCCGCCCCATAGCTCCCTATGGGTCCGCCGCATAGCTCCCTGTGTCTCCGCCCCATAGCTCCCTGAGTCTCTGCCCCATAGCTCCCTATGGGTCCGCCCCATAGCTCTGTCTCCGCCCCATAGCTCCCTGTGTCTCTGCCCCATAGCTCCCTATGGGTCCGCCCCATAGGACCCCCATAGCTCCCTATGGGTCCGCCCCACATCTCCCTGTGTCTCTGCCCCATAGCTCCCTATGGGTCCGCCCCATAGTTCTCTATGGGTCCGCCCCACATCTCCCTGTGTCTCTGCCCCACAGCTCCCTGTGTCTCCGCCCCATAGCTCCCTGTGTCTCTGCCCCATAGCTCCCTATGGGTCCGCCCCATAGCTCTGTCTCCGCCCCATAGCTCCCTATAGGTCCGCCCCATAGGACCCCCATTGTTCTCTATGGGTCCGCCCCACATCTCCCTGTGTCTCCGCCCCACATCTCCCTGTGTGTCCGCCCCATAGCTCCCTATGGGTCCGCCCCATAGGACCCCCATTGTTCTCTATAGGTCCGCCCCATAGGACCCCCATTGTTCTCTATGGGTCCGCCCCACAGCTCCCTGTGTCTCTGCCCCATAGCTCCCTATGGGTCCGCCCCATAGCTCCCTATGTCTCTGCCCCATAGCTCCCTATGGGTCCACCCCATAGCTTTGTCTCCGCCCCATAGCTCCCTATGGGTCCGCCCCACAGCTCCCTGTGTCTCTGCCCCATAGCTCCCTATGGGTCCGCCTCATAGCTCCCTGTGTCTCTGCCCCATAGCTCCCTATGGGTCCGCCCCACAGCTCCCTGTGTCTCTGCCCCATAGCTCCCTATGGGTCCGCCCCATAGTTCTCTATGGGTCCGCCCCACAGCTCCCTGTGTCTCTGCCCCACAGCTCCCTGTGTCTCCGCCCCATAGCTCTCTATGGGTCCGCCCCATAGCTCCCTGTGTCTCTGCCCCATAGCTCCCTATGGGTCCGCCCCATAGCTCTGTCTCCGCCCCATAGCTCCCTATAGGTCCGCCCCATAGAACCCCCATTGTTCTCTATGGGTCCGCCCCACATCTCCCTGTGTCTCCGCCCCATAGCTCCCTGTCTCTGCCCCATAGCTCCCTATGGGTCCGCCCCACAGCTCCCTGTGTCTCTGCCCTATAGCTTTGTCTCTGCCCCATAGCTCTGTCTCTGCCCCATAGCTCCCTATAGGTCCGCCCCATAGGACCCCCTTAGCTCCCTATGTCTCTGCCCCACATCTCCCTGTGTCTCCGCCCCATAGCTCCCTATAGGTCTGCCCCATAGGACCCCCATTGTTCTCTATGGGTCCGCCCCACATCTCCCTGTGTCTCTGCCCCACAGCTCCCTATGTGTCCACCCCATAGGACCCCCATAGCTCCCTATGGGTCCGCCCCACATCTCCCTGTGTCTCCGCCCCATAGCTCCCTATAGGTCTGCCCCATAGGACCCCCATTGTTCTCTATGGGTCCGCCCCACATCTCCCTGTGTCCCCGCCCCATAGCTCCCTGTGTCTCTGCCCCATAGCTCCCTATGGGTCCGCCCCATAGGACCCCCATTGTTCTCTATGGGTCCGCCCCATAGGACCCCCATTGTTCTCTATGGGTCCGCCCCACATCTCCCTGTGTCTCCACCCCATAGCTCCCTATGGGTCCGCCCCATAGGACCCCCATTGTTCTCTATGGGTCCGCCCCATAGGACCCCCATTGTTCTCTATGTGTCCGCCCCATAGGACCCCCATTGTTCTCTATGGGTCTGCCCCATAGGACCCCCATTGTTCTCTATGGGTCCGCCCCATAGGACCCCCATTGTTCTCTATGGGTCCGCCCCACATCTCCCTGTGTCTCTGCCCCATTGTTCTCTATGGGTCCGCCCCATAGGACCCCCATTGTTCTTTATGTGTCCACCCCATAGGACCCCCATTGTTCTCTATGGGTCCGCCCCATAGGACCCCCATAGCTCCCTATGTGTCCACCCCATAGGACCCCCATTGTTCTCTATGGGTCCACCCCATAGGACCCCCATTGTTCTCTATGGGTCCGCCCCATAGGACCCCCATTGTTCTCTATAGGTCCGCCCCATAGGACCCCCATTGTTCTCTATAGGTCCGCCCCACATCTCCCTGTGTCTCTGCCCCACAGCTCCCTATGGGTCCGCCCCATAGGACCCCCATTGTTCTCTATGGGTCCGCCCCATAGCTCCCTGTGTCTCTGCCCCATAGCTCCCTGTCTCTGCCCCATAGCTCCCTATGGTTCCGCCCCATAGCTTTGTCTCTGCCCTAAAGCTCTGTCTCCGCCCCACAGCTCCCTGTGTCTCCGCCCCATAACTTTGTCTCTGCCCCACTGTTCTCTATGGGTCCGCCCCATTGCTTTGTCTCTGCTCCATAGCTCTGTCTCTGCCCCATAGCTCTCTATGGGTCCGCCCCACATCTCCCTGTGTCTCCGCCCCATAGCTCCCTATGGGTCCGCCTCATAGCTCCCTGTGTCTCCGCCCCATAGCTCCCTGAGTCTCTGCCCCATAGCTCCCTATGGGTCCGCCCCATAGCTCTGTCTCCGCCCCGTAGCTCCCTGTGTCTCTGCCCCATAGCTCCCTCTGGGTCCGCCCCATAGGACCCCCATAGCTCCCTATGGGTCCGCCCCACATCTCCCTGTGTCTCTGCCCCATAGCTCCCTATGGGTCCGCCCCATTGTTCTCTATGGGTCCGCCCCACATCTCCCTGTGTCTCTGCCCCATAGCTCCCTGTCTCCGCCCCACAGCTCCCTATGTGTCCACCCCATAGGACCCCCATTGTTCTCTATGGGTCCGCCCCATAGCTCCCTGTGTCTCTGCCCCATAGCTCCCTATGGGTCCGCCCCATAGCTCCCTGTGTCTCTGCCCCATAGCTCTGTCTCTGCCCCATAGCTCCTTATGGGTCCGCCCCATAGCTCCCTATGGGTCCGCCCCATAGCTCCCTGTGTCTCCGCCCCATAGCTCCCTGTGTCTCTGCCCCATAGCTCCCTGTGGGTCCGCCCCATAGGACCCCCATAGCTCCTTATGGGTCTGCCCCATAGCTCTGTCTCTGCCCCATAGCTCCCTGTGTCTCTGCCCCATAGCTCCCTATGGGTCCGCCCCATAGCTCTGTCTCCGCCCCGTAGCTCCCTGTGTCTCTGCCCCATAGCTCCCTATAGGTCCGCCCCACATCTCCCTGTGTCTCTGCCCCATAGCTCCCTGTCTCCGCCCCACAGCTCCCTATGTGTCCACCCCATAGGACCCCCATTGTTCTCTATGGGTCCGCCCCATAGCTCCCTGTGTCTCTGCCCCATAGCTCCCTATGGGTCCGCCCCATAGCTCCCTGTGTCTCTGCCCCATAGCTCTGTCTCTGCCCCATAGCTCCTTATGGGTCCGCCCCATAGCTCCCTATGGGTCCGCCCCATAGCTCCCTGTGTCTCCGCCCCATAGCTCCCTGTGTCTCTGCCCCATAGCTCCCTGTGGGTCCGCCCCATAGGACCCCCATAGCTCCTTATGGGTCTGCCCCATAGCTCTGTCTCTGCCCCATAGCTCCCTGTGTCTCTGCCCCATAGCTCCCTATGGGTCCGCCCCATAGCTCTGTCTCCGCCCCGTAGCTCCCTGTGTCTCTGCCCCATAGCTCCCTATAGGTCCGCCCCACATCTCCCTGTGTCTCTGCCCCACATCTCCCTGTGTCTCTGCCCCATAGCTCTGTCTCTGCCCCATAGCTCCCTGTGTCTCCGCCCCACAGCTCCCTATGGGTCCGCCCCATAGGACCCCCATTGTTCTCTATGGGTCCGCCCCATAGGACCCCCATAGCTCCCTATGGGTCCGCCCCACATCTCCCTGTGTCTCTGCCCCATAGCTCTGTCTCCGCCCCACAGCTCCCTATGTGTCCACCCCATAGGACCCCCATTGCTCTCTATGGGTCAGCCCCACAGCTCCCTGTGTCTCTGCCCCATAGCTCCGTGTCTCTGCCCCACAGCTCCCTGTGTCTCTGCCCCATAGCTCTGTCTCTGCCCCATAGCTCCCTGTGTCTCCGCCCCACAGCTCCCTATGTGTCCACCCCATAGGACCCCCATTGTTCTCTATAGGTCCGCTCCATAGGACCCCCATTGTTCTCTATGGGTCCGCCCCACATCTCCCTGTGTCTCTGCCCCATAGCTCCCTATGTGTCCACCCCATAGGACCCCCATAGCTCCCTGTGTCTCCACCCCATAGCTCCCTATGTGTCCACCCCATAGGACCCCCATTGTTCTCTATGGGTCCGCCCCACATCTCCCTGTGTCTCTGCCCCATAGCTCCCTATGGGTCCGCCCCATAGCTCCCTGTGTCTCTGCCCCATAGCTCCCGGTGTCTCCGCCCCATAGCTCCCTATGGGTCCGCCCCACATCTCCCTGTGTCTCTGCCCCATAGCTCCCTATGTGTCCGCCCCATAGGACCCCCATAGCTCCCTATGGGTCCGCCCCACATCTCCCTGTGTCTCTGCCCCATAGCTCCCTATAGGTCCGCCCCATAGGACCCCCATTGTTCTCTATGGGTCCGCCCCATAGGACCCCCATAGCTCCCTATGGGTCCGCCCCACATCTCTGTGTCCCCGCCCCCCCCAGGCACTGGCTGGCCGAGGCCTACCCCGCCTTCGCCGTGCCCTACTTCCTCTATGACGTCTACGCCATGTTCCTGTGCCACCGGCACCGCGCATGCGTCAAAGGTCACGAGACCGCCCCGGCCCCGCCCCCCCGCGCAGCCGCCGTCGCCTTCCTGCGCCGGGAGCCCCTCCTCGTCCTGCATCACGTGACCATGGTGCTCGTCTGCTTCCCCGTGGCCTGCGTGAGTTTGGGGGGGGGCGGGGCTATGGGGTGAGCTATGGGGCGGGGCTATGGGGCGGGATATGGGGTGCTATGGGGTGGGATATGGGGTGCTATGGGAGGGATATGGGGTGAGCTATGGGGCAGGATATGGGGTGCTATGGGGCGGGATATAGGGTGAGCTATGGGGTGGGATATGGGGTGGGATATGGGGTGCTATGGGGTGGGATATGGGGTGCGCTATGGGGTGGGATATGGGGTGCTATGGGGCGGCTATAGGGTGCTATGGGGCGGGATATAGGGTGAGCTATGGGGTGGGATATGGGGTGCGATATGGGGTGCTATGGGGTGTGATATGGGGTGCTATGGGGTGGGATATGGGGTGCTATGGGGCAGGATATGGGGTGCTATGGGGTGGGATATGGGGTGAGCTATGGGGCGGGGCTATGGGGCGGGATATGGGGTGGGATATGGGGTGCTATGGGGCAGGATATGGGGTGCTATGGGGTGGGATATGGGGTGCTATGGGGTGGGATATGGGGTGCGCTATGGGGTGCTATGGGGCGGCTATAGGGTGCTATGGGGCGGGATATGGGGTGCTATGGGGTGGGATATGGGGAGGATATGGGGGGGATATGGGGCGGCTATGGGGCAGGATATGGGGGGGATATGGGGCGGCTATAGGGTGCTATGGGGCGGGTCTATGGGGTGC